GCTTGGAGCTGCACCGACCATTTTGAACTAGCACGAGTTCAGTAGACGATGCAACACATCGGGCCTTGTTGCAAAGAACTTCTTCGGTCAGTTGACCAAATCAAACTACATTCATAAGTCATCAGAGGCAGATGCATGGATGGAAAGTATCCTTCTCCTCTGGCTCCACAGATACCTCAAAATGCCATCCATACATAAAAATGGTATGTGTGTAAATTTTGATTTGTCACTCAGGTGTTACCTTCAAAGGTACTGATTGCTTGGAAACATTTGTGTCCTCAAGTGTGAGCTGTGCCAGAGAACTCTCAGGAAGGCACATTAGCTCGAGAAGAATAGATAAAAAAAAAAAAAAAAAAAACATGAAATAAACTGCGCTAATGGATGGATTTGTCCAATGAGTTTTGAAATTGTTGATGAATACATTTCAACCATAATAACAAAGACATTATCTAAGTGCCAAAATACAAATCAGGTAAGGGAGAACGCTTCAATCATACATCTGTGAGCAAGGATTTGGGAGGAGACATTGCGGAAGAAAAGGCCTATCCTCCCCATCAGGATTCTGTGTGGAAATCTGTAGTAAGCATAAAGGACATGTCGGGCCTTTGATCAAGAAGGGAGAGTTACCTGAGAGGAAGAGATCAAATGGAGGAAGGTATTTGAGTGTCTCTCCGGCTAAAGCGGCTTATTTCGTCTATGCATCTGTGACAAGATATTGTCAGGAATCCACCTAGTTCTTCATCCCCCCCCCCCCCAAAAAAAAAAATCTCCAGACACCACCATGCAAAAAAAGGGACTCAATCAAGTATGCAATTATAATCCCGCACACACTGCGCAATGAAACAGCAGCAGACAATTCAAATGAAAACAAGGTCCAATGTTTCTTGCAGTGCGCAGCACAATTACAATTTGTTTTGTCTTCTTTTCTCTATTCTCCTCAACGTCACCTGCTGCAACATGTAAAAGAAGAGCGATATGAGCAACATGTGAGCCCCACCTTTCCAGCTCTAATTTGAGGGGTTGTCAGACTGTGGCAGTGCGATTTCAAATCCCTCAGCCAAGAGAGTGAACGAGAGGAGGATTAGAGGGGTAATGCCAGTAGATGAGAGCAGGAGGGCCACAGTGGTGTGCCACTCTGCAAGGATTAGCTCCCAAAACTACTTCACAGTCACCAACTACTGCATGTCAATCAACCACATAAGCCGCCCAGTCAACCAAAGACTCCTCAACATCAAATCCATCTCCAAGCAATAAATGGATGGATGACTTCATTGAAATATCTGGAAAATGGGTTGCAGGAGAGATTATCAATAAAGACCTTATTTTACAAAATTGCCTTATTCACACTAAAATTATAGATTATATTGCCATGGTAGTTTAGTCACACGCTGAATCACAACCAACATGTTACACACGAGTGAGGGGAAATATGCATTCCCGCTCCTCCTCCAAAAGTGCACAAAATGTCACGGCAATCTAATGCGAGACAGGACAGCGTCATAGTAACTGATATATAGTACAGAACCTGGGGGGACCGAGCCTTCTCTGTCTCCTACTGTAGGATTTAGTCCCACTCCACCTCAGCCAGAATTCTGCCTCCCACAGATTGGCAGGTGCCCATGTGCCAGCTGTGCACATTAATCCAATTTACCAATACTCCCAATCTCAACGTGTCGTGTGAAGCACACCTGTCCCAGGACTCAATTTCTTACTATCCAATCTCTACTTTATATGGCCATGGGCAAGTTTAAAGAGACCTGCACAAGACTGCATTGAAATGCAAAACGATCTGCGAAGCTTGGTGAGAAGGTAACAACTAATTGCAGCATTATTTAAAAGTGGGTTTTCATTGCACGGTGTCCGGGCTCTCCCTTAGAGATAGGGTGAGCCAGGATGGACACAGAGGCAAGCCGCTGCTCCTTCATGTCGAGAGGAGCCAGATGAGGTGCCTCATGTATTAGTTAGGATGTGTCCTGGACGCCTCCCTCGTCAGGTGTTCCGGGCATAAACCACCAGCATGATGGAGAAACTCTTGTTAGCAAACAGGAACTTGCTAACCTCCTTTACACAAAATGATCATTGATTGCTTTCGATTTAGAGTTCCATACAAGAGCTTGCCTTGTGAATTGAGGACGATCATGAAAAAGTTGAGGGCACAGCCTCAAAGTACACTGAAGAAGCTTGTTCATGGTCTGAAGGCACTTACGACCTCAGTCACCAAGAAAGCAGTTGGTAACACACTGAGCCATAAAAGCGTGGAATTTTGCAGTGGCTGCAAAGCCCCCTTGTTCCGAGAGGCAATGCAGAGGCCTGCCTCAAGTTTGCCGGTGAACACCCATATGACTCAGAGAAGGCTTGGGAGAAAGAGCTGTGGTCAGATGAGACCGAAGTTGAGCTATTTGGCATCAATCAGACATGCTGTGTTTGGTGGAGGCCAAAATCTGAGTATGACCCAAATAACACCATCCCCACAGTCAAACATGGAGGTGGAAGCATGTTTTTAGTCTATTTCTGCAAAGGGTACAGAGTGACTTAGCTCATAGAGGGGCCATTGAATGGAGCCATTTGCTGTAAAATATTGCTTTAAAATCTCATTTCTGGTGTCGTGAATAGAGCCTCCAGCATGACAATGACCCAAAATACACTGCTAGGGCAACAAAAGGGGTGGTCAAGAAGAAGAATATTGAGCTCAAGGAATAGTCATCCTCCAGATCTACAGTGAAATAGAAAACCTGCAGAGCCAGTGGAAGCTTCCATTTTCCAGGCAGCAGCAGAGAAACTTGAAGGAATTGGAGAGTTTCGGTCGTGTGAACAAAATCACTCATGTACTATGTGCCAACCTTGTGACCATCTAGAGGATCTTCATCGCTGTGTTTGCGAACAATATATAACAATCACAGTACATACTTATTCCACTCAACAAAATGCACAATATTTTTCAACTTTTATATTGTTTTTCATCGCTAGTGATCTCTATAATTGTCATCTATTTTAGAATCAGGAGCCTATAACTACAGGCAATCAACAACCATATTATGCAAAACTGTGAATTCCTTTGAAGTGAGCACATTTATTCTGCATAAAAAGAAAAAGGATTTTCCCTACTGTATATACAGTGATTGGCGACAGAGTTTCTTACATCTGCTGAATCTAATGATGCACTGCAAAAGCATTCCTTTGACTTTGGATAGTTTGAAAATGCACACAGGTTGGAGAGAATTCAAATGTGGTATAGACTGAATATATATTTTCCACTTCTCCACAAAAATTGTTTGTCCCGTTTCAATTAGTGCAACCGATGAAGCTAAAATAGCTAACCATCCATCCATCCATCCATCCATCCATCCAACAAGTTTGTTTTCCTCATTACTGTCATGGGAGAAGCTGGGGCCTATCCCAGTTGACTTTGGCCAAAAGGCAGTGACACCCTGTACTGGTCACCAGTAATTCGAAAGGAACATTTGAAAACTTTCTCAGTGTAGATAAATAAAGGATGTAGAAAACAAATGTATTATTTATTTATACAATCAAGCTTCAGAAAATGTTTTAATGTAGCCATTATTTTATTTTCAGTAAATTCTTGCTGAACCATTTTGACAAGGAGGAAGGAATTTCATTTCATTCACCTTTTTTACCTGCAGTATATTTGGCTTCTTTGAAAAGTAAGAACAAAAAAACTATTTTATAAAATTTCTGTTAATAAATCCAAATAAATATTGATAATTTGTCATCTTAATCAATAAATGACTGTCGCTGTGTGTCGTGAATGTGTACGTGTGTTCGTGTGTCTGAGTGTGTTTTTGTGTGTGTGCAGGTATGAGAATGCACAGCTTTACAACCTCATTAAATACACTCATGCTGAAAACACTTTAATTTCAGCAACTTGAGTATATTAAAAGTGGTTCGAAGGGACCTCTGGCAATGCCATACCACAGTCACCAAATGGTGCCCCAGGGCACCATTGAGCTCCGAAGGATCACAAAAGTAACTTATTCTAAAAATAGCTTACTGGTGTAAAGACATTGTGATTTCTTATAAATGTTGTCAAAGTGCTAATTTGAAAATGGAAACATTTGCAGTGAGGGTTGCATATTATTTACGTGTTAACGAGCTTCTTAAATAATTGTTGAAAATTATCGTGAGGCATCATTAACATGATTTGTGTCTTCACATAGATTTTCATCTTAATTGTTAATAGTGACATATTATTCAAAGTAGTTTGGGCGAATATGGTTTTTCTGAAGTGGATATAATGGTACTAAAGCCACAATAACTGACATGCCTCCTTTTAATGTTCTACACCACTTGTGGCTAACTTTGGGCTAGGCGTGGAGTACACCCTGGACTGGTCAATCACAGGCCATAATGACGGCCACATTCACATTCACACCTGTGGTCAACTTGGAGACATTATGCATGTTTCATAGGGGGAAGCAAGCGTAGAAAACCCATGCAAGCGATAGAAGATTAAAAGAATGTGCTCATATGAGTGGGTTTTGTGCTTACATGTGGAGATCAGAGTGGTAGGTTTCTGTTATTTGTTGGGTGGATTTTGTATTTTTGTTGGTTGCTTTTATCTCTCTCTTAAAAGCACTTCATATTGCATTTTTAATGCATGAAACGTGCCATACAAATACAAGTAAACTTTTGATTTGATTTGAAAAGATGGCACAGAAAGAGATTCAAACCCTGAACGGCCAGACCTCAGTGTAATGCAAATAAATATTACATTATTAAAAATGATTACATTAATTCCGCTTAGCTGAAGCAATGAGGTTAAAGTTTAAGACACACCTGTGAAATGAAACCTTCCTGCTTTGACAGTTCTTTGTGCATCTGATGGGCATGCCAAGTATTTCAAGGGACTCATCAAGATATGCATAGTGAGCATTCAGTGTGGCACACAACATCAATACAAGAAATCATATAAAACAGCAGAAAGAGACGGGCTGCATGATGTATCTTAAGTGGGGATTGGTAATAGTGCAATATTTGCATACCTCGTTTATCCTGAATCTTAACAGTGAGCTCCACAAAGGGTTCTGACTCCCTATCCAGCCTTCTGGTGATGGTGATATCTCCACTGTCGCGACCCACGGACACAGGGGAGCCCTGTGAATCCGGATAGATGAGATCAAAGCTGGCCGATTGGAACCTGTTGGGACTCAGGCTCGTTATGACCGAGCCGATGTTGGCATCTTCAGACACGTTGAGGGAGACGAAAGCCGCCGGGTGAAGTGACGCTCTCGGCGCGCGCCTGGGCCTCTCTCGACCCGCGTTCTGCAGCCACCTGCGCGGGGAAAAGGTGATCACCACGCATTTGCTGCTCAGCGCAGGCCATCCGTGATCCGTAGCAAAAATAGAGACTTCGACTGCGGATTGGAGCCCCAGAATGGAGTCGAGCAGCAAAACTTGGCCGGTCTTGGGGACGACATAAAAAGTGCCATTTTGGGGCAGTGAAGTGTATGTCAAGTCTGCGTTCTTGCCACTGTCTGCATCAACAGCTTTCACCCTGTAAACAACACTTCGAATAGCAGTGGTGTCGTCTAAAGTTATGTGCACGGCTTCTGGTTGACAGAAAGTCGGCTCGTTATCGTTTGTGTCCAAAACGTTTACTTTTACCGAAGCTACATCCACAAGCGCAGAGTCTGGCGCGCAGGTGTGGCAGCACAACGCGATTCTCAGTAGGTATTCTGAGCGCAGCTCCCGGTCCAGGACCCTGGAAGTTTTTAACAATATATTCCCCCGCTTGTGGTGGGCGAAAGCGCGGAAATCCTGGCTGCCGTCGCCGTATACTTTGAGGTGCATTCCCGGCACCGGGCACCATTTTTGCGCGTTGATGCGCTTCACCGGGATGCTCAGTCCGTTCACTTTCGAAGCCGCGGGTGAGTTCTCAAAAATATGGCCGTGAAAGAAAGGCAGTCGCTGCGATGTTTCGTGTCCAGCCGCTGGCGTCAAAAGGCAAAACAGGAACACGAAAACAGCCCAAATCATCTTGGTGGCAAGTTATATAAAAGCTGCCTCCAAGAGCTTCAGGGGGGTGGACAGAAAATTAAGAAGAGAAAAAAAGATTCACCCTCATATTTAAATATAATCCTTCCTGGAGAAACCTTGAAGTTAAAGCTTTTGCATGCTGAGGGGTTCGTGTGTTGGCCCCACGCAGCACGGCGTTGTGCAGACGGTCCACAGCGCTGCAGGCTGTTGGCTGTGCTCAGATACAGCTTTCAGAACCCACAGCGCCGGACAGCGCCAAGCGGTGGGGAGGAGGGGGAGGAGGATAAACGGGGGAGGGGGCTCAAAGAGGGGGGGCGTGCTGCTGGAGTGAGTGGGGGGAAGCTGCTCCTCTGCGTGCCCCACCCTGCATGATGGTCACCAGCACCATTCTCCTTGCCAGTACACAAGTAGTTAAAAAAAAAAAGCCTCGCCATGCACTCGTGTCACAAATCCGCCCTGAGATTAAAATGTTCTCGACAGAGGGAAAAATCACTCAGACTGTCACGGATGAGCAAGTCGAGCAAACACATATGTTCTTGTAAAGAGCTGTCTGGACTTCCAACATTGCCCTAAATTGGTTCGCTGCTCCTTGCTCTAGAATAGTCTCTATTAAATCTTGTGAACCTATTGTTTGTGTTCATGCACTGTTCTTATTTGAAACTATATGCATAAAAAAGTGAAGGAGGAATAGAATTTTCACAGAGGCCAAATCAACAGTTTGATTCATCCACAATATGAACAAATGTCAAGAATATTTGGACGAAAGTAAACAGGACTGTATACGGAGGGTTTACAAAAAAAAAAGTGCAAAGCACTGGTAACATTAAAGAACAGGAAAATCTGATTATTTTTGCCAGACAAAGTAATTGCTTTCCGTACACTGCATATGGCTTGTTTCATAATTTTTGTGCTCGTGTACTGTCCATCTTATTTTCCCTCACAGGCTTTCTGACCAGGGGTTCAGGTGTTCAGGCACTCCCATTACACACCAGGCGCCGCCTGGCTCACTACCCTTTACAGTCCCGTAATTTCCTGCCCTGTCCTCTTGGCTACTTATTGTGTCACTTGCTCACAGGATGTTGCACTGCCTTCCCCGGTCCACAATATGTTCTGTCATAAAAGGCATATCAGAGCTTCTGCATGACCAAGCAGCCAAACACAACAGGTTTAAATAATAATAAGATTTTGCCATGAAAACATTTTTGAGGATGTGCCTGCATGCTGACAGAAGGAGTCAACTCAAGTTTATTTATCTGGCGCTTTCACAACGGCCATGGCTGTAACAGGAAACATAAAATAATAATAATACAATCATAAATAAACAATATAGCGCCTTCCAAGAGGAAATTTCGTATATATCTGTCTGGCTTGATGTGTCAGGTCTGTTATGTGATAAAATAATCTCTGCAAGGCTGAAGGGTAAAGTTTAGATCATGATGAATTGGGCCATGAGGTATGGCTTGGAGACGGTGGCACTGAAGAGCAAGAACGGGAAGCAGTGCTGGAGGTGGCTGAAATGAAGATGTTGAGATTTTCTTCAGGAGTGACCAGGTAGGACGGGATTAGAAATGAGTTCATCAGAGGGACAGCCATGGTTAGATGTTTTGAGGACAAAGTTAGAGAGAACAGACGTCATGATTTGGACGAATCCAGAGGAACGATAGCAATTATATTGATAGAAGGGTGAAGAGGATGGAGCTGCCAGGCAAGAGAGCGCCTCAGAGAAGATTGATAAATGCATTAAGGGAAGACACAAAGGCAGTTGGTTCTTTTAAGGAGAAATATGAAGATAGCCTTAGATGAAAAAGAACGATTCACTGTGGCGACATCTAACGGGACAAGCCAAAGGCAGCTGTACGTAAATGAGAGAGGGGAAGGATTGCAACACCATTGAGCAGCATGAAGGCGCCTGGATCACCGATTTCGCGATCACAGCGTGCATGACGTCAGTTACATTTCCTAAAAGCTGAGTTTGAAAGTGAACCGTAGTTTTCTAACAGGCAACAGTATGGTTTGGTATGCTACGATATAGCAGGGTTTAAAATGAATGATTTTGTATCACAGTTTGTGAGTCGAAATGCACATTTTGCATCTCCTTAAAACACATTGAAAAGCATGACGTCAGAACATCTCTGCCTTGCACACCAACTCAGGCTCTTTCCCTGCCAGAGAGGTGAAATTCCACATCCCTCAAGCTAGCGTTCTGTAGCCGGGGATCAGACGCTGCCCAGTTCTGTATGCACCCAACTCCACCTGCAGGCCTGGCTCCAGAGGGAGCCCGCCGTAACCCACGTCTGGACAAGGGAAAACTCAATCCATTTTTTTGTATTCATCATAAGGAGTTTCTGAGCTGCCCATGGTGTGGTCCCTCACCCAGGACCCTGCCAGGGCCATAAAGCCCCAGACAACTTAGCTCCTAGCATCATTGGGACTTTCAAACCCGTTCATCATGATAAGCTGACGGTTCGTGGAGGGGTATTCACAATGCGAACCTAAGAAACAAAAAAATATGAAAAAGGAGAAAGCAATTGTTCATTTGTTGTATTGTGATATTATTATTGTTTTATAAAACCCTTTCGTCAGGTTGCTGCAATTAAGCTGCGATTAAAATGCAGAAAACGGCTACTCAAGTGGGTAGTTGCTCCTCAACTAAAGTTACTGATTAGCAAAACTAATCCTCAAACAATATAAGTAAAAATATTTTGAGCCTTGTATGGTTATGGTATGGTATATGGATCGTGACATTCAGCCAAATGCTGTAATACTTTATAGCGAAGTTATAAAATGATCAAAACATTCTAAAAACACAATAAAGACATTGAATCCTTAAATGGTCAGTGACCAGTTAATTTATGTCTGTTAAGTGCGAACAGTCTGATTTGGGCTTTTAACAGCCAGTCTGTAAAAGCACTGAAGACATTTGGACAGGCTGCTACATCTCCACAGACACTGAAAATGGTTGAAAAGAAATATAATGAACTAGATGAATAAATATGGAGTCCGTTCCATTTGTCTACATTATATTTCAGTGTGTTTGTAGGAAGGTTTTTGTCCATTTGTTTGGGTGAAGATTTGCAAGGTTGCAGTGCCTTCGTCCAATTCATAAAGCAGAATGGAAGCAGAATCTCTTGCTAGGAGATTTACATCTCACACTGAGCCCTATTGATTAAAAAGTGTTTCAGAAGACTTCTTTCCTCAGAGTGTATGTTTACATCCGATGCACAGTTGCTGTTCATTTACTCGTGTATTACAACTGCCCAAAGCACTGCATCAATGTGTCTCACTCAAAAAGAAAGTTCCCGAGATGACAAGTCATATATCCTAAGTGTAAATATTACATAGCACAAAGTGTCAGATGAGGGGAATGTTGAATTGGAAATCACAGAGGCCCGTCTGTGAGTCTGACATATCCTGTCTTGCTACTTGACACACACACAGATCAATATTTATATGCTTTGACTGTGGAGCGTTGTATGGCATATGTATGCACGTCGATTCCATACCAAAGTTCGACTTCATCTGTATTCTTTGTGAATATTCATCAAAGGGTTGGGTGAAAACTCCATATCAATTTAAAGGCGCAATCCATCACCGTAATTTTAGTAGAATCCGCTATCAGTAGCAAATTGTTATTTTCAAGGCAATAACCAGAAGTGAGCCCCTAGATATTTCTGCATCGCAGGCAGCAGCTGGAGCACAAAACTCATGTTGGTGCATCACTGCGGCCTTTTACATGGAGCAAGCTGTGTGGAATGTCACCGCAGCACAATAGCCATCCCACCTCCGTTGGTGTTTTTACAAGCGCTGGCCTGTGGATGAAAAGAACTGCAATAACCACTGGGTGAAATATGACAGAGGACCAATTGATGGGAGATAACCACAAGGCTTCGGCGGTACTGTCATACTAACTTCAAATAGTGGAAAAGCATCTAAATCAGTGTGGAATCAGTTCCTCTCAAACTTTTCTTTGAACTATTCAATGAATGCAAATCAGACCATATCTATTTTTTTCTTTTTTTTTTTATCTCAGCAGTAGCCAAAGTCTAATTCAATTACAAGGTTTGACCAGAGAGTCAGGGGTGATTTACTTGAGAGCTATCAGAGTTGAAAGACCAACATGAACACAAGAACCATAAAGCCTTAATGATTTTTTTTTCTTTTAAGATGGAACACATGAAGCGGCCTCATCATCCGTCTTTTCTAACAGATAAAGAAGCGCTCAGGGGCGTAAGGCGAATATACTGGTGAGAGCAGCGCATAAACATAAAAAAAAGCTTCATGCTACCTTCATTAATAATTGACCAAATCTATTTCCTTCACTCAAACTAAGACAAACAATTCAAGTCCAAGTTGTAGTGAAAAAAACTACATGCTGCCCTGTATTCAGACATAAGGGTCGAGACTCCAGTTATGTAACAACCATGTATTATTACAGGTACTTCATGAGGATTTTACACAAAAAGTGGTATCAATGAATATAAAGAAATTGTGGACCATGTGTAAAGAGCTCTCGTTCACTTGCTGTCTGGAGATGTATCGCCTATTTAACACTCAAAGCCTGAACTGAAACATTAGTTTTGTTTGTACTGTACTAGGCCATTGTCACTCAATTTTACCAATAAAATTTGCTGATTTTGTGGCTAATATGATGTGATATTCAATAAAAACCTGATACATACTTATTTACATATATGTACGTACAGACATGTCATGCCATTACACAATGGCACACAAAAATCTCACATATTTTTAGTAAGGCATTGGTAGGTTTTTGCAGATTAGATTGGCCATCAATCAAACAAAATCACACCATTGTTTCTTTAGCTTTTTAATGTGATACAGGTAAAAATTCAACACTAGTATTTCTTGAACACATAATAGCGAGGATGATCAAATAAAACACATACGGTATATTTTAATTTTGAGTGGGTGGGCACTGGCGTCTTGATAGGTGGGCGCGGCCCCCTGTGGCCCATCCATATTGACGGTTGTGCCTACAATTCACCGAAAAGAAAGTTACCTTCACAAAATTCAGGGTGAGATTGTCATAAATGATTACTGGAGAATGGTAGGAAATGTCAAATGATATGTAAAAGTATGCGGCTTTGATTTTCTTGTTTCAAGTAATTCAGTAGCCAGGTAACAGTGGATATTTGAAACAGTCAACCACGCATCCCCCTTCAAGGAGTCATTTCTGGCACCATCAAAATGCTGACAAGAGCAGCAACACTGAAGTGATCATTGTAGTGTTCTTGCGTATATGAGTCCCTCAGGATATCTCTCATCAGATCCTCAGGCAAAAAGCAGTTAAGGAGCTAGATAAATATAAAGACATCTCTCCAATGTATTAGGTACGGCTAATTAGATTTGATCTGTGATCCCCCGAAGGCTTCTACCACCCACCATAGTATTTAAACTGTGCTCGAGTCGAAAACAGCAGCATTATGAATTATGGAGCAATGTGTGCAACCTGGTTCAAAATGAACTTGCACAAATAATCATCCAGTGCAGCAAGATGTTCTCAAAGTGTCAGATGTGGCACAAAAACCACATCCAAGCCAGACCACCTCATTGTTGTGCGTGTATTTATGCTTTTTGGAAATAGCACGTTGAATAGAACCAGGACTGTATTTTGATTGCTTGAACGCCGTAAATAAAATAAAAAGGAAACAGGTATGAAAGTAATAAGTCCAAAAGGAGTGTATGAATGCAGTGTGTTATGTTGAGAGAAAACACACTTTCAGGGTCACTTGATTTAAAAGGATGTCCAAATGGCTGGAAATCAAATACCACAAATTTCTTTTACGGTCCTTTGTTTCCCATCAATGTAGTGCTTTATATTCAAAGGTAAAGGTGATAACATTGAAAAGGGAGATTTTAAACACACTGAAGTCAAGAGAGAACAAATGTCTATTGTTGTGGTGGACCTGCAGCATCGCAATCATTCACACATGCGACCAAGCACATTCCCACCCCTCATTAGCTGTGGTTAAACCATGGTTCCAACTGTCTGCGTCTCATTTAGCTTTAAATTTCTTTGCAGAGAATTGTCAGGGATGAGTTGGTGTTGCTGGCATTAAAATTGATCCCCTGCGTGTTTGGAGAGGGAGGGGCATTGCAATTTATTTTAGATGTTGATATTCTGCAAGTTAAAGTGTCCAGAACAGTCCACCATCGTGGACTCTCTCTCTCTCTCTCTCTCTCTCTCTCTCTCTCTCTCTCTCTCTCTCTCTCTCTTTCTCTCTCTGTATACATACACCGTATATATATCCATCCATCCATCAATTTTCCGATCCGCTTCATCCTCACAAGGGTTGCGGGGGGGTTCTGGACGCTGAACCGGTTGCCAGCCAATCGCAGGGCACACAGAGACGAACAAGCATCCACGCTCACAGTCGCACCTAGGGACAATGTAGAGTGTTCAATCAGCCTGCCATGCATGTTTTTGGAATATAGGAAGAAACCGGAGTACCCGGACAAAACCCATGCAGGCACGTGGAGAACATGGAAACTCCACACAGGAAGGCCGGAGCTGGAATCGAACCCTGCACCTCACCACTGTGAGGTCAC